TACTGGCTTCTGATACATATGGTGTAATCAATGTATGGGACAGAAGAATGAGTACATTTCCATGTCTTGAACTTACAACGGATTCCCGTGGCACCCTTAATAGTATACAATTAAATGCAGAGGATCAGGTCTGCAATAATTCACATTCTTTTTGTTCAATCTTCTATCTTTACGTATTTATCAGAAGTTGAGATATGCGCAAGTCATTAGGAAAGACATGTATCCACACTTTGTTTCTTTGTGTCAAGAACCTAGTATTTAATAGCAACGTAAGTATGGGTCAATAAGTAGAACTGATCATGGTTATGAATGAGGATTGATCGTTCAAATTTATATCCTAGTTATTAAGTTATATATGGGTTAAAAATCTTTTAGGAAAAACATGGTGTTAAAGTGGCAAGATGTTTGCTTAAACCCAAGAAGTCAGTCATCAATTTGGAGGGTATGGTAATTTCTTTATATTGTGCTGATCCAGAATGGTAGATCATCAGAGTAGTTGCATAATAGTGGAAATTGGAAGGTTCTAAATGATCAGAACTAGTGTTGATGTACTCTTTAGTGCCTTATATGAGGCCGTTTTCTCATAGTTTTTCTGCAAATATAACATGAAACAGATTCATGGAAAGACCAAAGCTAACTAGTTGTACATAAGAAAATATATTGGGAAGTCTCATTTAAAGCTCTTGAATTTGGAAAGATGTGCTCTGTAATATCTAGTTACTTGTTCTGCACATCTTGTTTAATTTACTCATTAGTAACTAACATAAACTTTGTATGGTGTCTCTCATGTCCTAGTTTCTAAAAACATGGAAGATGTCCTCCCAGAATTTCAGTTAGTAGAAACATTTTGGTGTATTTTCATGCTTTTGTTCCCATAATCTACTAGGTGTATTCCTGCCATGAGTAAATTTTTTTATCTTCTAAAGGAATTTGAACAACTTTTTTTTCAGATCATTTTTGGAGCTGGAAAGCATGGATTTGTTTATGTATGGGATCTTCGTGGTGGAAGAACGTCTTCTGCTCTTCAGAGTAATAAAGAAGTAAGGGGTTCTTATTTTGTTTACATATATTTATTTTCTAACTTCATAGAAATAACAAGAACTAAACATCAGCACCCTAAACAGTTTTCCTAGCAGTCACGGCTAATATGCCCAGGCAATCTTGACAAAATATTGAACTTGATTGGTATATTTATGTTCTTGAAAAATGATAGTAATAATTATTTTGTTTTTGTTTATATAGATACGTCATCTGCCTCTAACTTCATTGAAGTTATCGTCAATGTTAGAGAAAATTGGGCCTCTGAAGGTATCAAATATGTTTACTATTTACACAACGATTTTGGAAAAAAATGTGTTAATTCATACGAAGTATTGTCTTTATGCATGTTACCTTGTTGTAAGTTGTAAACACTATATTTGTGCGTATTCTCATATTGCTTCACTGGAGACAAAAGCCATTAACACATTAATATTAGTAATGTAGACAGTACGGTCTATTGTACCATATCTATGTTACATAAATATCATGGTTTGCATATTTCAATTTACACTACTAAATATTCTCATTATTTTTCAGGCACAATCAGACATTGTTTCTAAGGAAATACACTCCATTAATATTGATCCATCTTGCCCGCACCAATTGGCATTCCATCTTGATGATGGTTGGTACGTATTGTTATCACTGTGCAGTAGGTCATGATTCCTTTGTTTTATTTTTTTGGTAAACAATGGTTCGTTAATCCTATTCCTCGTTTTTTTTGTGGTCATTTCTTAAGTTTCTATGTTACTTTAACAATAAAAAACTCAATACGGGGTAGGTTAATAACCATATGGGTCAAGCTGATGGGTTGGGGGTACTGTTCTGAATATATACAGCTGCATTTGTCTGACACTTGCTAACTTTTTTTTCAAGAAAGTATATTATTTAGAAGAGATATTGGTCTACAATCGAAAGGAGATGTACCCTACAAAACAATAGGAATACATGCTTGAATTATACCAATTCTTTTGAGGGTAAAGTAACTTGTGAACAGCAGTAACTGATCTGGAATATGAAAATGGATTTTGATGAAACTGGAACAGACAGAATTAGGAGTCACTTTATAGCATGCTGCCAAATCACCAAGGCATCATTATGTTTATTGTATCTTTTTATTGGAATCAAAGGAAGTCTCACTAATAATTGTGAAGATCATGCCTAATTGCCTATTGAATATGCTAATCTAATAAACTGAATGCTTTATCATTGACTTTTATTGCGACAACACTGATGATGAATTAATACCTTGTTTAATGTAGGTCAGGTGTTTTGGATGTTTACAATTTTGAAGTTACGCATATTCATTGTCCTCCACCTGCTTGGTTGTAAGTAATGTTTTGTGCATTCAATTTGTTGCGTTAACATTGGAAGCATTAGCACCTTGTGTTTAATTTATCTATTTCTATCCTGTTCATTTTGAGGGAGTAGAAATGATCCTGGCGTGTCAGCTGATCTGTTATATTTGAGAAAACCTTCATGGCTGCCAATAAATTCGGTAAGGGACAATGTTTTGTTTTATATTTCAAACTGCATTGCATCAGGTTTCCTGTTTAGTCATTTTGCATTAGTTTACAGTCATTGACCTCACTTATGTGGACAAATTCATATTCTAGTGTCAGTTGGATGAAAATGTATTTGTTTAATGAGAAGTTTTTCTATCGCTGGGTCCTGCTCAGTGGTCAATGCATGGGGTAGTATTGCGAAGTCACATTTCATTTTCACATATTGATTGAAAAGTTTGCATTATTGCTGCTTGCATGCTTTGAGTCATTTCTCATTTGGTTGATTAAACTTGTTGGTATGGTACCTGTAACAATCCTATGATATTTTCATTTTCTTGGCCTTCAATTTAATTCTGCAATGTCTAGCCACTTGTATGAGATTGTACTCCAATGTTCTCTAATGCAGATCTACGTGGTTGGATCATCAACCGACAATGGAATTCATATTTTGGATTTCTATCCAGATTCAAGCTCTCCTAGCCATGTGGACTACAAGTAAGAAACTCCTTAGAACTTTTGCAGTATGTTGATTAGCCATGCAGTCTAATACATAATCTGAATCAGCAGATCATAACTTTCTTAGTATTTTAAAAGCTCTCCTGCAAGTCTGGACCCCCTCCCCCCTTTAGTAGATTATTTATTATGTTGATGCCCAACTTATAATTTACTATTTCCCTCTGGATGCGGTGGTATTTACTTTGATGGCCTTTTCCCCTTCAACTATAATTCTTTGGTTTCAGTTTGGCCCTGTTGTCTTTGCACATCTGTGTGTGAACATGCAGTTGTTTACTTTCCTATGCATTTATGTTTACAGACATGTTCCTTTTGTTGCTTAATGTTGTAGAGAGGATGTACAGAGTCTTTCTGGGGTAAAGAAACAAGATAAGCAAAACAGGTTTGTTCAATTGTCTGAAGGAGTTACTGCATGTGCAGTTCATCCCCTCAACAGTACCATCATAGCTGGAACAAGGGTTTGTATTCTCGAAAACCTACTTTTATATCCATGTTTTTCAAACCCTTAAGGTTCTATTAAAATCCTATGACATGGCTTCTACTTCAATTATACAAATGCATGTGCATATTGGACTTACTAGATCTGTGCATTTGGTTTCATGAGATACATAAGTGCAAGCAAAATCCCAACCAGTGCCTGGTTGAAAAAGGTTTAAATGTGAATAGAGTAGTACTTTGAAAAGGTTTGTGGTGTGGCAAATTCCAGTGGCCTTGTTGACTCTCCATTTGGGTTGGTCTTAAAGATTAAGAAGCATTCACTATTTTGACTGAATAGTGGAGCTTGACACTTACCAGGAATGTACAAATAAAAGTGCCGTTGTTATGGTGAAACTGTTGGGATATAAAAATGAAATTAAGTGAAGCTGTGTTTATGCAAGATAAGGGTCTTTTGTGTTTAGGTAGCTGGTTGTGAAGGAAAATGGTTCACTTAGATGTTGGAAGCTGTCTAAACTACCGACCCTTCATTCATTACTTTGTAGTGGTTCAATGAGTTTCATATTCACACACCCTCATAGAATAAAAAGGCCTAATACTTATGGATTATTGCTTTCAGCATTCATCTTTGCTCATGATTTCTCAAAGTCACAAGTCAAGTTAAGGTGACCAACTGAAGCCCGGGACCAGTGTGAGCAGAAATGTTGAGTGGTCAAGAAACAACTGCTATGCGCTTAACCTTGGGGCTCCTACAGTTTTCACAGTTCAGAATATATATGTAAATGTGAGCAAAGCAACTTTCTCTTCCACTCATGAGCTTTGAAGTAATGTATTTAGTGATAATTTGTCAGCTCATGGGTTACTTGTATCCAGAGGAAGACTAGAGGTGCTTTCGGTGGTCTAACCGGACATTGTATATAGGGTTTATAGTTCTGTGTTGTACTCCAGTAATTTAGGGTATTTTGAGATTGCAGGATTGTTATAGACAGTAGTAACTGGATGTTGTGTATGGTTTAGGGTTGTGTACTTCAGTTCTTTTACGGTATCCTGAGATCAAAGGAACCTTACAGACAATAGTGACATTATCTTTTTTCACATAATGACATAAAAAGCATTCATTTATGATATGAAAACAATCTCACATTTTCTGGTACATTTGAAGTAGAGATATGGATCACCGATTTGTATGTGTGCGTAGGAGAGAGAGAATGAGCAACAGCCCTTGGTGGTATTATATTATGAAATTTTAAACAGTAAACACTCTTTATGATAATGAGAAAGTATTCAAAAATTTTGAAGCAAGCAATATAACTTTCCCGGTAATGATTGGCATTGTACTCTGAACTGGCCTAGTGCTTCTCCCAGCCATCACACCTTATTTATTTACGACTAAATTGAAATTGAATGATCTTAATTGAACCTGTATGATCTAAATTGAAATTGCAGCAAGAAAAAGATTGCACCAAGTTTGGTGTTCACAGGCTAAACTTTGAACAGACATCATAGTAACACTAAAATTGGCTTATATTGTTGGATGTTGTTGAAAAAATGACAAATCCGAGAGCTAAGGATATACATGACCCAAGAAACAAGATAGACATACTGCATTTTAAAACAACACGGTCAATCTTCTCATACCCAATCTAACAACACTAGGCATATGGATGCTCTGTCTACAAAAAGTAAACAAGACTCAGTAACACAAAACTTTCATCAGTTCAAGAAGATGAGGATAGAAAACTTTTGGCAGGAGGGATCCGAGCAACAGCAACATGTTCAGGCTTTGAGAACTTCCGATAAACTGCTTGAAGATTACTCTCTGCAGCATTCAAATGAAAGCCAACCAAGAGCTTGGCGCAATCCCTGTTGTATGACAAAGAACACAATCGAACTAGTAAATATAAACCACATCTGTTTCCCCACTCACAGCTACAAATACCCGAATATAATTGATAACTGAGGAAGGTTATATACAGAAGAAGGCATCACCTTAACTGTTCTTCAGAGTAGCCAGTGTGGTGCTTCAGGGTTTCAGTCCAGAAAGGAGCTTTGTTGAGGGTGCAACGTGCAGCATAGACAGCTGCAGCAGCTATCAGGGATGGGGAGTACCGAATAGTAGTTGGATAATGCATAATTCCGAGCTCGGCTAGAAAGAAAACCATATTCTTCACCTGCATTACAAAAAGTTAAGAGAACCACATTAGTATTTGTTACTTCACTAAAAATAGAGCTTAAAAGTATGGTTCGATATCAATATTTATCACACAAATCATGGTGAATTAAATACCTCTTCACCTGGTTGAAAAAGTGCTGAAGTAAAAAATTCAGAATTTTGAGAAGAATCCTCCTGTGCATCCGAAAAATAGCTCTCTTGTTCCTGGAACGCAACATAATTGATAACTGAGGAAGGTTATATACAGAAGAAGGCATCACCTTAACTGTTCTTCAGAGTAGCCAGTGTGGTGCTTCAGGGTTTCAGTCCAGAAAGGAGCTTTGTTGAGGGTGCAACGTGCAGCATAGACAGCTGCAGCAGCTATCAGGGATGGGGAGTACCGAATAGTAGTTGGATAATGCATAATTCCGAGCTCGGCTAGAAAGAAAACCATATTCTTCACCTGCATTACAAAAAGTTAAGAGAACCACATTAGTATTTGTTACTTCACTAAAAATAGAGCTTAAAAGTATGGTTCGATATCAATATTTATCACACAAATCATGGTGAATTAAATACCTCTTCACCAGGTGAAACAGAGGCTTTGATGTATCTAGACAGGAAGACATATGGGGTGGGAACTGTCAGGTACCATTCCAACTTCCCCAGAATTGCTTTCTCCATCAGAAGTATCTGATCACCAGTGTATGCATAGTCTGATAAGCAAACAAAGTCAATGACCTGCATATCAAGAACCCATTTTCAGATTAAAAAAGATACAAGTTAGAAATCAAGTATGAATAATTCATAAAACAACTGAATAAGTACATTACCTGTGGAGCCCAGATTTCCTCATATTTGGATGCTATAACCATAGAACTAATACCAACTAGCTGAAGTTCCCTCCTAGAAACGATCTTCATTGACAAGTATCGATCAATTATGTTCACAGTCAGGTAGAAGGTTTCAGGCATCAGTTCAAATTTCCTGTGAACTTCTACCAACCAGTCTATGAGGATTGATCTCATCTTTGGGTTTATGTCTGGCTGTGACTCCATGTAATCATGAACTCTGCTGTCATCCTGCACAAGGAAGTTTTCTTTAGTAAGACGAGATAAGAAAAGGGGAAATTTGAAGTGAGGGGGAGGGGGGGGAGAGAGAATAAGAACATACTTCAGTGAGCTTGTAGAACTGGTACAAATCATCAATGTATTCCACTACTGCCAATTCATCACTAACATCAGCTGAATCAAAATCGACAATGTTTTCCTTTGGCTTGATGTCAACTCCACAAGCCATAGCCTGCAGAAAACATAAATTTAATGCCCCAACAAATAAAAGGTAGCATTTCTCTCACAATGTGTTAAAAAGTCATCACAAATACAAAAAGAACGTCTAAACTCACCTTGCTTCGAGCTGTGAGGATTGAAGTTAGAGTCTTGACTTCCTTCCTTGAAGGCCCTTCTACGGGCTTGCATCGGTTCACTGGTTTATCTTTTTCTTCTTCTTCATCAGAACTTATAACCACCAGAGTCTCAGATATTGGCTTTTCAATTGCCTTCTTGGGAGCTACTGCGGCCTTCTTGGCAGGACCACGTTTTCTATTAAGAGCAGCTGCCCTATCTTCAAGAACCGGCAGTACTGGGTTCTACAAATTCAAAGAGCCAAAAACATGAATAGGTATAAAAACTCCTAGTTTCAAAACTAGAATTTCATGACAAAAAGCGGTAAAAGGGTTATTACCCCGTTGTTCTTTTCTGCTTTAGCTTGTGCCTTGGCTAACAATTGTGCATGAAAGCTTCTGCAAGTCAATAAATTGTTAGGAATTGCACATGTGTAAATTAGAGAGAGAGAGAGAGAGAGAGAGAGAAACCTAGTCATAGGGCGAGAAATCTGAACAGGGGGCTTCCCTTCAACAAGATGAGCAGCCTCAAGATTATTACCAATGTCTCCAAGAACACGCCGGTTCCTTCTTTGTGCTTCATTCTTTACTTTGTCATTCCCTTTGAGAAAAACAAACGTGAACATGTAAATTAACAAAACTTGATTTTCTGAATGAAAGAAATACATGAAAAGGGACGAAATAAAAAAATTAAAATACAAAGAACCGCCCCAAAAAAATCTGAAATCGCTACAACCACAAGAGATAACTGCAATCGATCAAATAAGAGAAACCCAGTTGGCACTGACTGAACCCAAACCACAAAGAATCATAGCAGGAAAAATGAAAAGGACAAACAGTAAACCCAACAACCAGAAACCCAATAAATTCTACGTTCCAAATTTAAGAAAAAGAAAACAAATAATTGAAATGATGGAATAATAACCCCAACCCACCAATGATCAGGGCAAGAGAAACCCACATAACATTATCCCAGAAACATAAACCCAGTATGCTAAAGGAAGAAAAGTACTAAAACCCAAAATGAAATTTAAAAGAATCGTTGTTCTATTCAAAAATCAGAAGCTGGGATCGGTGAATACCTCTGGGTTGTTGTGGAAGAACCACTGCTCTAACGTCCTCCATGGTTGGCAGAGATCTCTAGCCTTCTAGGGTTTCTGGATTTAATGACTTCCTCAAAGAAAGTCTCCTTCTTTTCTCTCTCCCTCTTTCTCTGTTTGCTCTGCACGCTTGTGTTTCTTGTTTCAGGAGTCTAAAAGTAAAGCAAAGGGCACTATTTGAAGCTCGAGAACCCACGTTGGCTCCAACGGTCAAATTTTTTTATTTGAAATTTCGATCGTTGATTTCGCATACGGCTACGATTGATTTTCAAGATGGGTGTAATTGGCAAGTTACTCCTATTTGGAATTTGCCATACTAGGCTATAAGCATGTGTTCACGCACAGGTTAAGTGGTCTTTTTCATTTTCGTAGGTATATTTAATATAATTTGATATAAAAAATGGTATAGATGATATAATTCTATAAATAGAAATAGGAAACAATGAAAATAACGAAATTTAGGGGTGGTGGAAACTAACGTGGGGATATGTTTTTACATAAATAAAACATTTTTTCAATTTTTAAGGCAAAGTGGGTCTTTTCTTTTTCCTTTTATTTTATTTTTAATTTTAAACTTTTTCAATTTTTATTATATATTATTCACATTTAATACATTTTTTCTTTCTTAAGATTTTGTTTTGTTTTTCCCAAGTTCTTAAAATTTTGATTTTGATTTTGATTTTTGCCAAAACTAGGAAGGGGAGAGGGGAAACTCACACACACAAGTACCATGGGGGCTTGAACCCAGGACCACTTGGGAGCACACCAAGGGGTCATTTACTTACCAAGAATGGAAGAAGTAAGGAATTGAGGAATTTAGAAATCAGGGAAGTAATGAATTAGTATGGGAAGAATCATTCCCATTAAGTTGTTTACAAACCATATGGAATCAGCACAAGAATAGAGTTGATTCCCATTGTTATTGTTTACTAAGTCTCATGAATTAGAACCTAAACTAATTTGATTACTAAGATGCCCTGCACATATAAATGTATATTTTTCACTTGAATAACTTGTAAAAAAGCAAATTGAATAATATAAGATACTATATAACGAGTGATGAAAAAACTAGTATATAAAAATATAAGGAATATAATAGGAAAAAAAAAAAACAAATATGACACGGTGATAAGAAGCATAACAAGACAAGTAGAGGCTAGCAACCAAGGTGAAAAGGGAAAAATTTTGCTTTTTCCAACGGTGATTAATAAACAACCATTGATTTTTTTTTTTCGGCTTCAAAGTCTGGTTTCTTCATTTTATGGGATGGAAGAACATAACAAGTGTCAATAGTTTTTGTTTTATGTCCATGTTGTTCCTCCATATTGTGGTGCTAAACTAACCAATTTCAAATAATATCAAATAATAATAACCTAAGCATAATCTTGATAATATAAAAGTGACATGAGTTTTTATTTGTCTAGGGTTTAGGGTGTTTTGTAATTATCTTAAAGTGGTAAGGGTATTTTTGGAAGGTAGTAAGGGAAAAATGGAATGGGAATCGGATCAACTACCCCTCCCTAGTTGTCTAGGGTTTAGGGTGTTTTGTAGTTATCTTAAAGTGGTAAGGGTATTTTTGGAAGGTAGTAAGGGAAAAATGGAATGGGAATCGGATCAACTACCCCTCCCTAGTTGTCTAGGGTTTAGGGTGTTTTGTAGTTATCTTAAAGTGGTAAGGGTATTTTTGGAAGGTAGTAAGGGAAAAATGGAATGGGAATCGGATCAACTACCCCTCCCTAGTTGTCTAGGGTTTAGGGTGTTTTGTAGTTATCTTAAAGTGGTAAGGGTATTTTTGGAAGGTAGTAAGGGAAAAATGGAATGGGAATCGGATCAACTACCCCTCCCTAGTTGTCTAGGGTTTAGGGTGTTTTGTAGTTATCTTAAAGTGGTAAGGGTATTTTTGGAAGGTAGTAAGGGAAAAATGGAATGGGAATCGGATCAACTACCCCTCCCTAGTTGTCTAGGGTTTAGGGTGTTTTGTAGTTATCTTAAAGTGGTAAGGGTATTTTTGGAAGGTAGTAAGGGAAAAATGGAATGGGAATCGGATCAACTACCCCTCCCTAGTTGATCTGATTACTCATCTTGAGGGGATGTGATTACGGATTTTGAGGTGGGACCCATGCATTTTTTCATTCCTAAGACCATTTTGTGTGATTTTGATTAGGGTTAAGTGGTCTTTTCATTTTTAGGTATATTGTATATTTTATTTTACAACCAATGTGGTTTTGACACTTGTTAAATTATTTTAATATCTTTATACCTTTTTGTTGAAACTTTGTTAATGTTTTAAGGAGGAGCTCGTCCTCAATTTTACGAAGTCAAGTCATGCTAGATTTTAAATTTATTAGTAAACAGAAATGGGAGAAGAATAAAAATGAAAAGTAAGAAAACAGGGTGGGTATTTTGTTTTTATTTTAAACATTTTCAATTTTGACTATATATTATTCTCGTTTAATAAATTTCTTCTTTCTCAAGCGCAGTTGCATTATTGCTGCTTGCATCACTTCACAGGTCATTTCTCATTTGGTTCATTTTAGACAAAAGTCTCTCTCTCATGCAACATAGTATACAGTACAAGGAACATTAATATTTCAGTATTAGTCTACTCCAATCCTATGTTTTCTAATGCATTAATATTTTTTATTTCTATCCAAATCCAAGTAAGAAACTCCTTACAAAGAATACAAAGAATAACAGTAGCTTGCAGCAATTGGACCATTAAGCCTCTGCCCTGATCTTATCTATATCTAATACACAATTTGAATCAGCAGAAACATAACTATGTTTGTATTTTAGAACAATACGGTTGTGAGAATCTTCTCATACTCATTACTCAATCTAAAAACACCACTTGCACATATGGGGATATGGGTGCTTTTGTCTACAAAAAGTAAACAAGACTCGAAATAAACACAACACTTGAATCAGCTCAAGAAGAAGATGAGGACTGAAAACTCTTGGCCGGAGTGAAAAGAGCAACGGCACCATGTTCAGGCTTCGAGAATTTCCGATAAACTGCTTGAAGATTGCTTTCTGCAGCTTTCAAGTGAAAGCCAACCAGGAGCTTGGCGCAATCCCTGTTGTATGACAAAAGGACACAAGACTCCACAATTAGTATATATTGACTGCAAATATGCTAATTATAATTTATAGCTGAGGAGGGTTATAACTTAGTACATATATAGACGAAGAAGACATTACCTTAACTGTTCTTCAGAGTAGCCAGTGTGGTGCTTCAGAGTTTCAGTCCAGAAAGGAGCTTTGTTGAGGGTGCAACGTGCAGTATAGACAGCTGCAGCAGCTATCAGGGAGGGAGAGTACCGAATAGTAGTTGGATAATGCATAATTCCGAGCTCAGCTAGAAAGAAAACCATATTCTTCATCTGCATTACAAAAACGTAAGAGAATCAAATTAGTAAATGTTACTTCACTAAAAATAGAGCTTAAAGCATTCATGGTTATATTGTCATGGTGAAATAAGTACCTCTTCACCAGGTGAAACAGAGGCTTTGATGTATCTAGACAGGAAGACATATGGGGTAGGAACTGTCAGGTACCATTCTAACTTCCCCAGAATTGCTTTCTCCATCAGAAGTATCTGATCACCAGTGTATGCATAGTCTGATAAGCAAACAAAGTCATTGACCTGCATATCAAGAACCCATTTTCAGATTAAAAAAGATACAAGTTTGAAATCAAGTATGAATAATTCATAAAACAACTGAATAAGAGAACATTACCTGTGGAGCCCAGATTTCCTCATATTTGGATGCTATAACCATAGAACTAATACCAACTAGCTGAAGTTCCCTCCTAGAAACGATCTTCATTGACAAGTATCGATCAATTATGTTCACAGTCAGGTAGAAGGTTTCAGGCATCAGTTCAAATTTCCTGTGAACTTCTACCAACCAGTCTATTAGGATTGATCTCATCTTTGGGTTTATGTCTGGCTGCGACTCCATGTAATCATTAACTCTGCTGTCATCCTGCACAAGGAAGTTTTCTTTAGTAAGAGAAGTGATAGGAAAAGGGGAAATTTGAAGTGAGGGGGGAAGAGAACAAGAACATACTTCAGTGAGCTTGTAGAACTGGTACAAGTCATCAATGTATTCCACCACAGCTAATTCATCATTAACATCAGCTGAATCAAAATCAACAATCTTTTCCTTTGGCTTGATGTTAACTCCACCAGCCATAGCCTGCAGCAAACAAAAATTCAATACCCCAACAAATAAAGGGAAGCAATTCTCTCACAATATGCTAGAAAATCAACAAAACTCACCTTGCTTCGAGCTGTGAGGATCGAAGTCAGAGTCTTGACTTCCTTCCTTGAAGGCCCTTCTACTGGCTTGCATTGGTTCACTGGTTTATCCTTTACTCTTTCATCAGAACTTATAACAACCAGAGTCTCAGATTTTGGCTTTTCAATTGCCTTCTTGGGAGCTACAGCCACTGCCACCTTCTTGGCAGGACCTCGTTTTTTATCTTCAACAACCGGCAGCACAGGGTTCTACAAATTTAAAAAGCCCAATACCATGAACAGGTATAATTAACTTCAAGATTCAAAACTAGATATTCATTATATAAAGAAAGAGATAAAAAGCAGTGGTTCAAGATTATTACCACATGATTCTTTTCTGCTTGTGCTTGTTGTGCCTTTGCTAACAGTTGTGCATGAAAACTTCTGCAAGTCAAGTACAACTTGTTAGTAATTTCGCCTGAGAGAGAGAGAGAGAGAGAGAGAGAAATAAACCTAGTTATGGGGCGAGAAATCTGAACAGGGGGCTTCCCTTCAACAATACGACCAGCCTCAAGATTATTACCAATGTCTCCAAGAACACGCCGGTTCCTTCTATGTGCTTCATTCTTGACTTTGTCATTTCCTATAAGAAAAACAAACATGAACATATAAATAAAAAAACCTTGATTTTATGAATGAAAGAAATACATGAAAATGGCCGAAATAAAGAAATTAAAATACAAAAAACCCCCAAAAGAAATCTGAAATCGCTACAACCCAATCAATTCTGCGTTCCAAATTTACAAATAGGGAAAGAAACAGAAAAGGGCATATCCAAATAATCAAAAAAACTGAAATGATGAAATAAAATTTGGGAAAAAAGAAATCTTGCACTGATCTAGATGAATAACCAACCCACCAATGATCAAGGCAAGAGAAACCCAGATAAAACGACATCGAAAGATCTCAGAAATAAAAATGATGAATGCTATAAAAACCCATGGCATTATCGCAGAAACATAAACCCAATATGCTAAACGAAGAAAAGTACCTATGGCATTAAAATGAAATTTGAAAGAATCGTTGTTCTATTTAAAAAACAGAAGGTGGGATCGGTGAATACCTCTGGGTTGTTGTGGAAGAACTGCTGCTCTAGCGTGCTCCATGATTTGCTGAGATGAGATCTGTAGCCTTGTAGGGTTTCTGGATCCAATAAATTCACCCCAAGGAAAGTCTCCTTCTTTTCTCTCTCTCTCTCTCTCTCTCTCTCTCTGTTTGCTCTGCGCTTTGCGTTTCTTGTTTCATGAGTCTAATAGCAAAGCAAAGGGCACTATTTGAAGCTCCCGAACCGACGTTAGCCCCAACGGTCGAAATTTCAACCCCAACGGTCATATTTTCTTATTTGAAATCCGGACCGTTGGATTTTGCATACGGCTAAGATTCATTTTTAAGAAGGGTTTAAAATCGTGGTGTAATTGGTAAGTTTCATATTTGGCATTTGCCATATGACACACCAAACAACTTTGGCTGTTTTACCATATAACCCACATCAAAATTAACATGTCTCGTCTGGCACATTAAACGTACGTATCTCTTTTTTCTTTTTTTCCTTTTTCCAGTTTTGATTGTTTTATTTTTTATTTTGTGTTTCACTTGACATGACAATTCTACTAGGGGGATTCACGAATTTATTTATTTTTGGTTTCTAAAAATGAATTAAACGATGTAATCAACTTCCCATAGGGTTTGAATAAAGATAAAAAAAAATAGCAAAAAATTTCACAACTACGTGGGCCTTAAGTTTTATTTGTTTTGGGCCTTTCCCAAATGGTTTTTTGCCCAATATTTCCTCTCTTTTGTTGGATAGTGGAATTAAACCCCCCTCATCCACGAGAACTTCTATAATGAAAGGGATTTTGATGAGGAGTTCAATCCAACCATTCAATCATTAAAAGAAAAGTTCAAGTTCAATATTTTCTCTCTTGTTGTGTAGTGGGATTAAACCTCTCATTAAATCACCTCACCCACAACTCCCTTATTATAACATTTCCGTGACTTGTATGCTTAGAAAGGTCAATTTTTTTTGGGTAATTTGTGGGTTCAGGCCCATCTACATTTCATGTCATCCAACGCAACCCAATAATAATCCCAATTTGAGTGAAAATGAACCCTTTTTAAATTTTTGCATAACAAAAAATTTGGGCACATTTTGACATGTTTAAGCCAAAAACGTAGTCATATGTGCAATATCAATTTGGCAATACAAGCTGAGATTCAAATAGGAAATGCAAAGACAAATAACAATTGAAACAAGAACCCAGCAATATCAACACAAATCCAACTAGCCATTAGATTTCAGATCCATATTACGCCCCCGCATTACACAAACCCAACTGAATGGTTCAACGACTTGTCGTCTCAGCACAAGCCAAAACAAAGACTAAGGCATAAAGCAAACATCTACAACTAACTACATGCCGTTCAAACATCATAGACTAAATAATTCCTAAATTGCTCTCTGAATCTCCTCAAGCCCTCTCGCCTCTGATCCGACGAGCGAGCTGGATGTCCTTGGGCATAATGGTGACTCTCTTGGCATGAATGGCGCAGAGATTGGTGTCCTCGAACAGACCCACCAAGTAGGCCTCCGCCGCCTCCTGCAGCGCCGCCACGGCGCTGCTCTGAAACCGGAGATCGGTCTTGAAATCCTGAGCGATCTCCCTCACAAGCCTTTGAAATGGAAGCTTGCGGATCAGGAGCTCAGTGCTCTTCTGGTACTTTCTGATCTCTCTCAGAGCCACAGTTCCTGGCCTGAAACGGTGAGGCTTCTTCACCCCTCCAGTCGCCGGGGCTGACTTACGGGCAGCCTTCGTGGCCAGCTGCTTACGTGGCGCCTTGCCTCCGGTCGACTTACGAGCAGTCTGCTTAGTACGAGCCATTTGGAGTTGGTTTTGATGTGAATGATGGAAAGATTTGGGTGTCTGGTTAGCGAGAAAATGAGAGAAAAAGGAGGGCGATATGAATTTGTGAATTGGGGAGGTTTTGATGAGTTTTATTTATAGAGTGAGAGTGTGGAGAAGCGGCGGGTTTGAAATTTTGGTCAAATTTTGAAAGTTTTGGATCGGTGGATATGGAGCGTTGATTTGTATTGTTATCAATGGTGGATATTATTTGTTGTAGGTTGTTAGGGATTGCGATCCGTGTGCACTGTAAGTGGACCAATAAAATTGGTTTATTCTAGCGGCAACGGAATATTTTCACTCCTTTTCAATTTTTGAGTTGGCGGGTCAAGTATTCGAGTGTGGATTGAACAGTAAGGATCAATGAAAGTTGGATTTGCTTTGAAAAAAACATAATGAAATTTGGGCTTCATTCCCCATTAAACTAGCCCGATGCATCTCACTTTGGGCTTTCAAACTTTAATTTTTACAAAACAATATTCTAACTACTTTAATCTACGAGCAGGGAAATCGAATATGGTGTATGAGAGAGCGGATACGCTGCCTTTCACCAACTAATCTAACCCACATCTGCAAAGGACTTTCCAACTTCAGACGAACATGGTCTCTTCCTTGATGAGTCATGGCATAGATAGTTTCTTTTGTTTTTCTTGGTCAAGCACCCAACTAATCATGCCAATTGCCAAGTAATTTTGATATGCTTATGCTTAGGAAGTTAGACAGTAAATTTCAAGCCATGGAATGGAACCCACAAAGTTAAGCAGCAAAATATTGTTCTGCATGATTCCCCTCATTCGTTACCCCCATCTCAAAAATATGCTTCAAAGTGCAACTTCATGGTGGCTGTCTAGACTAATTTTATAAGCAATACTTCTTTTTTTCTTTATAATCCTCTTCTTATTATTATGGCACGGTGGCACCACCATTTTTTTATTTTTTATAATGTGGATCAAACCCTTGTTCTCAATTTAGCTGAGACTTTTTAATGGCACAAGTTTGACTTTTATGCTCAAAAGCCATTTTTGGGAGGCACCATGTGATATTTAGAGGAGGTCAGATTCGGGAGGCACCATGTGATATTTAGAGGAGGTCAGATTCGGTGTCATACGCTTCCGCTGCGCGTGAACTCGTCCCTGAGTTCTCTTCGTCTTCACTGCCATGATACGGAGAAAGGTCTGCCACATTGAAGGTTGCTGATACTCCATAATTTCCTGGGAGTTCAATCTTGTAAGCATTATCCCCTACACGCCGGAGTACTTTAAATGGGCCATCAGCTCGTGGTTTCAACTTTCCATGCTTGCCCCGAGGAAACCGCTCTTTGCGAAGATGAATCCATACCAAATCTCCTTCTTTAAACGCAGCTGGCTTCCTATGCTTGTTAGCTTGCCTTTGATACTTCTCATTTTGTTTGATGATGTGCTCTCGCACTTGTTCATGAAGCTTTTTGATATTTTTAGCTTGCTCTTCTGCATCTCCACTAAACTGATAGCTTGTAGGTAGTGGCGCTAAGTCCAGGGGACTTATTGGATTGCTCCCATAAACCACCATGAAGGGACTAGAACCAGTAGATTGACTTGTCGAGCGGTTGTAAGCAAATTCAGCTTGTGCTAAAATTTGATCCCATTGGCGAATATTTTTACCCACCAAACTTCTTAAGAGATTTCCCAAGCTCCGATTGACTGCTTCAGTCTGTCCATCCGTTTGAGGATGGTGGGAGGAACTAAATTGTAAGGTTGTGCCCAGCTTCCTCCAAAGGGTCCGCCAAAAATGGCCAACAAATTTAGGATCTCTGTCAGATGTAATTGTCTTCGGAATGCCATGAAGCTTGACAATTTCTCGAAAATATAAATCAGCAATATGAGATGCATCCAATGTCTTGTTACATCTCTTAAAGAGCATTCAGGAATACACAAACGAACTCCTTTGAAAAGAAACCCATTTTGCAGCAAGTATGGGCCACGTGGCCTAATAGAACACTCAGACCAAATTTCTTTGAAAAAAGCATCATCCTCATAGAGTTCTTTAATCACTTCAAATCCCAACACTTTTGTTTGCATGGTACTCAAGCAAGAATGTCGCCTACTGAGCGCATCAGCCACTTGATTTTGTTTTCCTGACTTGTGCCTAATGTGAAATGTGTATGCTTGCAGAAATTCAACCCATCGAGCATGCCTGCGATTCAGCTTGTGTTGGCCATTAATAAATTGCAAAGCTTCATGATCGGAATATAGAATAAATTCTTGTGATATGAGATAATGGTGCCAATGATCCAGGGTCCTTACAATTGCATAAAATTCTTTGTCATAAGTCAAATATCTCGTGCGAGAGTTAGTCAACCTCTCACTGAAGAAAGCAATTGGTTTGCCTTCTTGACTTAGGACAGCACCAATTCCCACATTAGAAGCATCACAATCCACCTCGAACACCTTGCAAAAATCTGGTAGAACTAGGATAGGAGCTTCTGTCATTTTCTTTTTGATAAACCTTGGTCCCTCACCCAAATTTAAATCAACTTCTTCATTGAATTCTTCCTCATTTTCTTCTACAAACGAAACTATCTTGCGGTTTGGGCAGTCAGATGCAATATGACCCAATCCCTGACACTTGAAACAACGAACTGAGTTTGAACGACTTGAGCTCGCTGAACCTTCTTGCTTGCGGGTTGGCTTTGAGAAGGCATCTGTTTTTGGAGCTGAGGCAGGTTTTCCAATAGCTATTGGTGCTCGATTTGAATTACCCTCCTTGAGCCAAGATCTTGAGGTACCACCACGGCTTTCCTTAATCTGCTTTTCAACCTTTAAAGATAATTTCTCAACATCCCCATAAGACCAATATGGCTGTAGTTGTACAATGTTGCGAATCTCAGAGCGGAGTCCCCCAAGATAGCGAGCAATTGTTTGCTCCTCTGGTTCTATGATGTCGCAAAGCATGCGTAATTTGTCAAATTCTGTTGTATACTCCTCCACAGACACATCACTTTGCTTGAAATTATGAAACTTGAGGAAACAATCTTGGCGGTAGTTTTCTGGAATGAATTTCTTCTTCAATTCTCTTCTCATCTTTTCCCATGATTCAATCCGCCTCTTTCCTTCCCGAACCCGCTGTTTGTTGAGATGTTCCCACCAAATTGAAGCATGTTTCTTCAATTTGATTGCTACTAGTTTCACCCTGCGATCTTCTGCCACATCCTTGTAATCAAATATTCTCTCCACAGTGTTGAGCCAATCCATGAACTCTTCTGGCTGCATTTTGCCTTCAAATTCAGGGACGTCAACTTTGATGCCAAAGTTTTGCTGGAAATAATTATTCCTTCCATGATGCCTATGGTTGTTCTCAATGCTTGAGTCTCGATCATGTTCACGACCAAAAGGGTTGTACTCCTCTTCGCCATCCGATGCTTCATTCTCTGACTCATAATGGGGATCATCATGTTCCAGAGGTTCGTAGCGCTCTAGACGCTGCTGCAGTTGCTGCACTTGTCTCCTTAGATCGTCCACTTCGATGGGGTACCGCACAAGGACTCATGCTGTCTCTTATTAATCCTTTGCTCAACAGCTCATCAACTTGCCTCTGGAGCTCCTCGAAGTCTTTAGGGTTCATTCTATATGCTGCTTTATTTGGAATAACGGCCCCGGGAATGAAGTCAATGCAATGTTGGATATCCCTCATTGGTGGAAGCCCAGTTGGAATTTCCTTTGGGATGACGTCTTGAAATTCTTGAAGCAAAGGGCGGAGGGTCGGTAACTCGCCACTCTAAGGAATCCCCCAAAGAGATAAGAGTCGGGAAGTTAGAAGAACTCCTTCTTCTAGAAAGCCAAAGGCTATGAAAACTCACTCAAATTCTTGTCCGTTTATTCCATAAAGGGGTGAAGGGTTTACATAGTGTTCATGGAACAATCCTCCATGTATAGAATAGCCTTCTTAATTAGCCATACATGCACCAACGCATAATGCCCACAATTAATTACCATACATGAATCAAAAATAGAAAACATTGTAATGGACTTGACTTAAATGAGATGAATGCACCATGTGATATTTAAAGGGAAATGATTTATCATCTATCCAAAAGATTCATATTTGGCTTAAATTAAAAGATACCATTTTCCTTTTGCACGTAACTTATCGCAAACTATTTCTAACTAAACTTTTATATTATTTTAGAAAGACCCATTAATTAGTTAATTAACTAATGGACCTCTGCTGCTTCTAATAATAGTTTACATGATTAGGATTTAATGATTTGTAGGTGAAGCTAATCTGGATCTTTGCTGTAGACGAGAATGTCATCAAAATACACCACCACAAATCGTCCAATAAAAGATTTAAAAACATGATTCATAAGCCGCATAAAAGTACTAGGAGCATTAGATAACCCAAAAGGCATTACCATCCACTCGTAGAGGCCATCCCTTGTCTTGAAAGTAGTTTTCCATTCAACTCTGGGTCTCATACGAATTTGATGATATCCACTTCGCAAGTCTATTTTAGAGAACACGGTGGCACCATGGAGTTGATCAAGAAGATCATCAAGACGAGGAATAGGAAAGCGATATTTGATGGTTATCTTGTTCACTGCTCGACTATCCACACACATACGCCAAGTGTCATCTTTCTTTGGTACGAGAAGTGCGGGTACCGCACAAGGACTCATGCTATCTCTTATTAATCCTTTGCTCAATAGCTCATCAACTTGCCTCTGGAGCTCCTCAAATTCTTTAGGGTTCATTCTATATGCTGCTTTATTTGGAATAACGGCCCCGAGAATGAAGTCAATGCAATGTTGGATATCCCGCATTGGTGGAAGCCCGGCTGGAATTTCCTTTAGGATGACGTCTTGAAATTCTTGAAGCAAAGGGCGCAATGTAGGAGGTATCCCAACCTTCATTTCATTCTCTTCCATTACCACCAGTGCATATGCTTCCTTAATTTCTTCAAAAGCAATCAAGAACTCAGACTTGGTCAATAAGTTGTTTCCATCTACTTTCATTGGCTTTGGACTGCTCCCTGACTTCATAGGACCCAAAACAATCTTAACTCCATCCTTTTCAAAGGTATAGGTGTTTCTGAACCCGTCATGCACGACTTTCCTATCATATTGCCAAGGCCTCCCAAGTAGCAAATGACACGCATCCATGGGAACGACATCGCACCATATTTCATCCTTATAATTTTGCCCAATAGAAAACTGAACTAAGCACTTTTTGTTAACCCTTACCTCATTCCCCTTTTGCAACCAAGAGAGCTTGTAAGGTTGTGGGTGCTCCATCATTTTAAGATTTAATTTCTCCACCATGGTGGTAGCCACCACATTTTCACAACTTCCTCCATCAATGATGACGTTGCACACCTTGCCAAGGGAAGTACACCGTGTGTGAAATATATTATTTCGAAGCCAATTGTCTTCCTGCACTTGGGCTGCATTTAAACTTCTTCGAATGACTAAGCTCTCTCCTTCATCACCATATGTTAATTCTTCGTCAAACCTTGGTCCCTCACCCAAATTTAAATCAACTTCTTCATTGAATTCTTCCTCATTTTCTTCTACAAAGGGGCTGTTGGATTCATTGGTGGGAAACGAAGTTAAGAAGTTTGTGAAACGAAAAGACAGTGATGCAGGAGAAGCAGGTTTGGCAACACATGCATTCTGTGAGCTGCATCATCACCATTATCATTATATGATTATATTTCTTTTTTGATTGGCTCTGTTTTGTAATGTACTGTGGCTATGGCTTCTCTTTAATTTTGTGTTCTTTTATTGAGTGAAAATATGAACACTGTTTTCCGGGTATCTGGGTTTTCCTCTTTGATACCGTATCAATGATACGTATTGCTTGTGGAGTTGTTGAAGCTGAACTTGGTTCATTCTGTTTGTGCTGCAACTACAGTGGTTTTTCTGATTTATTTTGTACCAAGATAATTTGGATAGCTTCAAGTTTTTATTACATATAAATAAATCAATAAAAGAGGTTTTATTGCCTGAATGCTTTGATTTGTTTGATAGTATACAAGAAATTGTTTCTTTTCTCAGTCCATGTGAATACTGAAACAATCTGCAGGGCTCACCAAAATGAAAAGCAAGGAAAATGTGTGTGTATTAAACCCTTTTGGAAACCACAAAATGAAAATTATCTTTTCTACTTCTTCAGGTTCTTGTAGTTCTGATATTCCTAATTATCAGGTCGAGCACTGGAAGAACTCAGAGGTTCTATCTACAATGAAATTCGAACGTCAGAAGGCGCCAAGCGCCAACAGCAACGGTTTTGTGGGCCAGTCGTGGCTATGACCTTCAATTTCATTGTCTCTGTGGGGATTATCCTGGCAAACAAACTAGTCAGAGCCTTGTCCTTCTCTTCTTACCTACTTTTTTTTAGATAGTATGCTTTAGCAATTTTACAAGGTCCATAAGATTTTTTGTTGGGAATATTTTCCATTTGATTTTAATCATTTTGTTTAACAATCTTATGCTCAAGTTGCATTTCTGCTTCCAGGTAATGGGGAGAGTTGGATTTAAGTTCCCAATCTTTCTCACATTGATCCATTATGTGACATCATGGTTGCTTCTTGCCATTTTCAAGACACTTTCAATTCTTCCAGTTGCTCCTCCGTCTAAAACTACTCCTTTCTCTTCTATCTTCTCCTTAGGTGCTGTCATGGCTTTTGCCTCAGGTCTTGCCAATATAAGCCTAAAGCATAACAGGTCCTTCCTTGCTAGCTTTCTTGCATCTTGTATGTAGTACTAACTTGTTACAAACATGCATTGTTCGGCTTCCTCACCTTTCTGCTTGTTGCAGTGTTGGCTTCTACCAGATGGCTAAAATTGCTGTCACTCCTACCATTGTTTCTGCTGACTTCATTCTCTTCAGGAAAACCATTTCTTTTAACAAGGTGAGTCAAAATACTTTTGCCCCATTTCTTTTGTTAACCTTCGTACCTTTTTTCAGGTTCAAAGAACCATACTTCTGTTCTCGTTTCGATTTCCTATCTCTATGCAGATAATCATCGGAAGTCATGGTTGTGCAGGTTTTGGCTCTAGCTGTTGTCTCAGCAGGTGTGGCAATAGCAACCGTAACAGACGTGGAGTTCAATGTGTTCGGTGCTTTAATTGCAATTGCATGGATAGTCCCAAGTGCCATAAACAAAATCTTATGGTCTAATCTGCAACAGCAAGCCAATTGGACGGCGCTCGCGTAAGAATTAGAGTTCTTTCTTTAAATACCTCCTCCTTAAAGATGTTTAGTGAAGCAAATCGGTCAAATAATATACCCTATAAGAAAGAAAGAATGACAGTTTCTGATGTGGAAGTGTAGGCTGATGTGGAAGACAACGCCAGTCACAATATTCTTCCTACTAGCTCTGATGCCATGGTTGGATCCACCAGGAGTTCTACTTTTCCAATGGGATTTCAACAACACAACAGCCATTCTTATATCAGCACTCCTTGGTTTTCTCCTCCAATGGTCTGGAGCTTTGGCACTTGGGTGAGTCTCTTGTCACAAAGACAACTTTTGTACCTCATTTTACCTCACTGGAACAGACTTGAAGTGGCTAGTTCTTGTTCTGTTTATGCAGGGCAACCTCAGCGACTTCACATGTTGTTCTTGGACAGTTCAAGACTTGTGTGATACTACTAGGGGGCTGTCTTATATTTAATTCGGATCCTGGGTTTGTGAGCATTTGCGGGGCTCTTGCAGCCCTCTGTGGAATGTCTGTTTACACATCACTAAACCTGCAAAAGTCGCAAGACAATGTGAGCATGCAGCTCCCAAAGCAAAGCTTACCGACGTTAAAACCAAAAGCCACCGACGAAGAACGTGTAGAGTCAGATGTAGAGGATACCACCAACCCCACAACTGCTGTGTGAACCAAGCAGGCTTACAAACCATTTTTGTGTGTTTGAGATGTAGAGAAGATACAACAACTACTGTTGTCTAAACTCTAAACCAAGCAGGCTTACAAACCATTTTTACTCATGCAGTCGTCAAATGAAACAAAATAGAAAAGGAAATTCTCTTACACCAATTACAACCTTTTTCTGTATGCAAGTGATATCGTGAGGAGGAAATCGAACACATGAAATGGTCTTTAACCACTTAAGTTACATTGCATACCAGTTACAACTATGACTCAACATTCTCTGTCATAGTAAACAGGTGTGACATTAGAAAGCAAAAATTGGTGAGGTCTCTAATTCATTCCACTTAACGAAAGAGAATGCAAGTTTGTGGTTAATACAAGCATCTAAAAACCAACGCTCAGTAGAATTAAATGGTAAGAAAGATGTGGTGTACTAAGGAATCCCTAAACCCTAAACCAATTTTGAAGAAACCCCTAAACTAATTTCATAGAAACCTATAAACCCTAAACCAATTTCGAAGAAACCCCTAAACCAATTTCATAGAAATCCATACACCCTAAACCAAATTCACAAAAACCCCAAATTTCAAATAAAAGGATGATGAACAGTACCTTATGGATATGAACCGTGGAGGTAAAGCTTGGATGAACAGACACCACTGAGGGAGGAAGACCACTGCATCGGAGAGAGAGAGAGAGTTACACGAGAGAGAGAGCTACGCAAGAGAGCTGAGCGACAGAGAGAGACGGAGCCAAGAGAGTTGAGAGTGAACACAATTTCTGAAAAAGTGAGTGATATGGGTGCAATCAGTCGACAATAAAGATGTATTTATAGGTTGTAGTTTTAAAATTTTAAGGGAGGGGTGGTATTTTCAGAAAAAATTATAAAATTGGTGGCATTTTGAGCTATTTCCCTTTAAAATTTTGGGGGAGGAGTGGTATTTTCACAAAAAATTATAAAATGAGTGGCATTTTGAGCTATTTCCCTTTTTTTTAAAGCTGATTTTTTATGTTTACCTAGGGGTCATCATTTCGCCCGCGAGCTTATGGGCCAATGGGGTCCCGCCCGGCCCATCGAGAAAAAGCATGGCTCGGCACACAATGGGCCTTACACTAGCCTGGCCCGTTATTTTGTGGCTTGGGCTTGGGTGTTTGAAGCCCAGCCCCGCCCATAGGCCCGGCCCGATTAAGCCCAAGAAAGCCCAGCCCGACCCACCCATAAAAGCCCGGCCCGTTAGGCCCATATTTATATAGCCGTTAGGGGCTGTGCTTGTTTCTGGAAAAAAAAATAAAGGGAAAGGCCCAATAGCCATTTAGGTCAGACAGCCCAATACCCTCTATATAAAAGAGGCATTATCATATTCAGATCAGTCTAAACCTAGTGCCGCACCCACTTCACTCTTCCAACTAGGGGTGGGCACTCAAACCGGCGAACCGAAAATTCGAGCCAAACCACACTGAACCAAACCGGAAAAAAACCGAGTTGACCAAAAAGTCAACAACCGGTCAAAAATCGAACCGGACCAATTTGGACCAGTTTTGGATTCGATTTCATGTCTTAAAAAATTGGACCGGGCTGAACCGAACCGATCAAATTAAAAAATATATAATTTTAATATTTATTTATATTTAATGCTATATTTTTAATTTAATAACTAATATTTATTCAAGTTCAATTTCAAAATATCTCTCTTTTCTAACTTTAATATTTATTTTTATATGAAATTGAATAATTTGTTAATTTTCAAGTCTAAATAAATAAATTTTCAGTTGAAAATTGTATTAAAAAATAATTTAAAAAATATAATTTTTATAATCCGGTTCAACTCGAACCGAACCGGAACTAGTTCAGCCCAAATCGGAGAGTTTTTGAAAATTTTTAAATTAAAACCGAACCGATCCAAACCGAATGAATAGTACCAAATCGGTTCCAATTTGAGGCAAAAACCGGTCCAACTCGAACTGTGCCCACCCCTACTTCCAACTCTGTCTTCCTCTTCGGCTCTGTGACTGTCATCCTCTTCATTTCTCTTTTGGCTATCTCGATTCTCAACCCCTTCGTTTCTCCTCAGCTCTCTCTCTCCTCATTCCATCTTGTAGATCTAAGAGAAACTAAGATTGTGAACTGTCACAATGTGAAGCCGTTCGTTAATTTGTTTTTTTCCCCCTTTTAAGGGAGAGAATGGGGATATAAATTGTTTATTGAAAAAATGGAGATATGAATCTTTTCGTTTTTTTTTTGGTTCCTATTAAAACTTATATGTTCTACGGCTGCATTTGGACCGCTGAAAGAAATTCACTCTCATTTATTTTCCAAATGGATGAGAAATGGAGACTCCTTCCTCATGTTTAGTAACGTTGAGGAAGCTATTTGTGTTTGATTTCTATAGGAGTTAAAAATATATATTTTTTTAATTATACAAAAACATATTGGGGCGG